CCTAATACTAACCCTAATATTAGCTAAATTATATTTTATTTATTTGTTTATTTTGATAAAAATTAATTTGATTTACATGTTACACAAAACCCGTGTTTCAAACACCAGGTGTCCAATTAGTTAAATTCTTTTTATATAATCCAAATATCCAAATAAAAAAAAACAGAATTGCTAATTATAAAAAAAAATTATATTGATTAAATTTTAAAATTTTATATTTATTTTTATATATATTTTGGTTTATAATTATTTCTAAATTTTAATTTAAATATTAACAACTTCTAATATAAAATATATAGTATTTTTAAAACAATAATACTAAATTATACCAGTGATGTTTAATATTATACACATGTTTCAATAGTTTTGTTAATAAAATTTAGGGTTAGAAAACCTGAACTATAGTAAAAATATAGGGCTAAATTTTAGTTAGAGTGATATTTTTTGAGAAGCTAAACATTTTTGCTTAATATCTCTGATGTGTATTAGCTAGTACGTACGTACGTTTTTGAGATATAGCAACTATGGTGTTAAACACCATTATTATGATTTAGTAAAGCTGTTTGTAAAAATCAAATAATAAAATTTAATTTATATTATATTATCAATTTGAAGCAACTACCGAATAAAAACAACCTTTTAGATTTTGAAGCCAAAGATTTAGCTAAAGTTGTTATGTTCCACTAATAAAATCGGACCGAATATAAGCAACCCTTTCTTTCACCTTGGCCCAAAAAAATGTTTATTTTTTGCAATATTTTGGGAGTATTTAATCGGCAACGTATAGTATACTGTAAAGTTCACAAATATATAGTTTACTATGTGCCAAAGAATTTCACCCCAATGGTGTTTAGATGCTTAGATGTTTAGTGGTTTTTTTCAAGATCCCTACCAATTTACGTAACACCAAAGAAACGTCCAAAATTCCATGAAATCATACGGTCTAACCATTTTTGACATCGCATGAATTATATATGATCGTCACTAAGCAGTACGTATGTACGTCTATACGTACAGTGTTTGCATTTGTACGTATCATAATTACATACTATTTAAAAAAGGATTTCTTTTAAGGATTAGCGAATTATACATACGTACGTATTACGTTATTTACATTTATTGATATAAGTAATAGAATCAAATTTCAAATAGTAATTACCATTACGTAGGGGTTTATACTAAATACTGGATCGCAATAAAACTAGAAAAAAATGACTGGTTACATATGAATATCACCAAGAATATAAGTCAAATTTTTTATTTAACCAGATATTCAGGCTTATCCATGGCGGAACTCGTATGACACATTTCTATGAATTACTAACTAAATATTGTTCATAATATAGATCATTATGATTCACAGAATGACAGAACTACAGATTTATAATTTTTATTAAGTAAGAAAAATAATAATAATACTGTGAGGAAATTCTGAGTAGAACTTCGAATAAGAATTTTCTAGGGTGGAAATCCAAGTCAGCACAAAATTATTATTATTGGAAATTCCGGTAAACTTTAAGGATATTGATATGCAGATGAAAACCCGGTAATTTTTAGACTACTGTATTTTAAGAATGAAATTCAACTATATAAAGGAGTTTATAATTGTGCTTATAATAGTATAGAGTGACAGAAAAATACTGGTTTGTGAAATTTACCGGAATACTTGGTATAATCATTTATTGTCGCGGATCATGGTGAAATTTAGATCATCGTGAAATTAATATGTAATTAACACACGTGATTGGTTAGGGTTAGGGTGATCTGCAAAATTTAGCCAATCAGATTTTTTAGCTTCAGCCGTAACATTTACTATGAATAGATAAGATCACACCACAATTATTGTACAATTATCGTACCATAATTATCGTTATAGAAAGTATTTGCCAGTGAAATATGAAATAATTGATAACACGGTGAAGTCTACCACATGAAAACGTTAGAGATGATGCAGGAATGAGTTAATTTCTTTGTTAAATTCTCGCAGAATATGTAGGGACGTACGTACAGTACATACATTGATCAAAAATATCTATAATCGACAACAGATAACGATTTCATTCTTTTAATGACATTATTGATATTTAATATTAATCCTATTTTAAAACTATAATTAATAACCGGCCAAGTTTCCGGACCTATTATGGAAACCAACAAAAAAATTATTTTGTGAGATCTTGGCTAAATTTATTAATTAATAAATAAATTAATAAATAAATTTAATAATAATAAACTTACAACAAAGACAATTTTACTAAAAAAGGATATATTTTCCATTCATGGCTATGGTATAAATGTATAAATGCATCATAGATTACTTAACATTGATATTAAAGATAGAAAGGTTATAAAACAATTGTTCTTTATGTTAGAAGCCTACATAGTACTGTATTTAAGACATAATTAGTTTTATTAGTCTAATACAGTAGTAATCAGTAGTAATATGTAGAGTTACTATACGTATGTACACTTTCTTAATATCTATTTTGGTGCCAGTGTACGTGTACGAGTTAGAAAAATAATAATCACGCGTCAATATAGTCAATATATTAAGAGGCAAACAATAATCACGCGTCAATATAGTCAATATATTAAGAGACAAGCAATAATCACGCGTCAATATAGTCAATATATTAAGAGACAAACAATAATCACGCGTCAATATAGTCAATAATCACGCGTCAATATAGTCAATATATTAAGAGGCAAACAATAATCACGTCCATACAATTTATTAAGAGACAAGCAAGCAAAGAACAATTATCATCATCATTTTGTAAAGACATTAATGATCAAAAAATCATGTTACCACCGATTTTATGATCATCAATTAAGGGCGACGCGTCTAAGTGAACATCTAACAATTGCATTCCAACGTCGACTACATTGAATCGGTTTTCTTCCGGTACCGATGTCCCGACTAATTTTGGACCATTTACCACCGTATTTTTGTATTGATGTAAGTAATGCATGATCTTCTTCCTTTGTCCACCGACTTGAATTCACAGGAGGACCGACGGTTCTGAGAGGGGTCGAACAATTACGACGTGGAGTTTGACGTGTAATGATACGTGGAGTTTGACGTGAAATGATACGTGGAGTTTGACGTGTAGTCCGACGTGGAGTTTGACGTGGAGTTTGACGTGGAGTTTGGCGTGGAGTTTGGCGTGGAGTTTGGCGTGGAGTTTGACGCGGAATAAACGGTTTAGGTTTTTTTTCATCATCTTCGTTCTTTTTTTTTATAATGGATGTTTAAGGAAGTATTTTTTATTACAAATTATCATAAACCAATTATATCTTTGTTTAGACTTAATGCATACTTTAATCCAGATAGAAGACTCTACAACAGATGATAAATTAGATATTTCAAGCGGCTGTTGTTCGATTTTAACCGGCTGTTGTTCGATTTTAACTCGCTGTCGTTCGACTTTAACCTGTTGTAAAAAAAGTTTTACATAAAAAACAAAGAAAAAAAACCATAGTTTTATTTTAACATACCACATTATCGATAATGATAACATCATCGTCACAGTCAAGGTCAATGATTTCAAGTTTCCTTTCGTTATCACACATTTCGGTAAAGAAATAAAGAAAGAGTAAAATAGAAATATTTAACGAAAGATCCAATATTTAAAGAGACAATAAATTTTGCTTTATCAGTGATGTCATCTTGAAAAATTTTTTAATAAATTATGCTACATTTATATGGATTACAGCAGATCAGTATGGTGCAAGGCCGAAATTAGACACCATACCCATGCTGATCAGCTATAATTTCTAACCCTAACGCTAATATATCAGTATGGTACGGATTTTAAAATTCGACCTGTACCAATACTGATCTACAAAACTCCTACATTTATAGTCTGATATTTGCATCGTTATCTACGTAATCAGCTATTTATTATTGCAATATTTATCTTTATTAATGTTGATAAAAAGGCTAACAATGTTTACCTATATAAATATATATATATATAAATAAGTTTTTCTTGTTATGTTCTTGATTAAAAATTTTAGCAAAGCATATTAATACAGATATATGTATTAATAAATTTCTTATTATAGGATTCTATAAGTAAATCTAGTATTATAATATCCTGTAGATAAATATAGCTACATATCTTAGATTACTTTCAACATTGCAATACCATATATGGTGATATAATAACCGATGCTTACGTACGCACGCACATAATTAACACTTTGATGTTAAGGTTATCAGCGTCTGGTATTTGTTATACAAGCAAAGTCCATATCTACGTAATAATACAAAAAAAAATCGAGGATATATTCCAATTCTTAAGACTATCGTAATAACGTTGTAATCTTGCATACAAAATTAAAACAAATTAAAATATAATAAATAATAATAATGCGTGTGACTAAAGAACTTTTGTAATCCTGGAAAACGTTTAAGATCTTATTTCATACCACATGGCAGTTATTTAAACGCATTATCTTACTGGTTCATATTAATTAATATTGTCCAAATTTGGCTGTTAATAAAGTAACATGCAATTCCCCTGTGTGAATAAAGTGTACGTGTAACGTAAATTAAATGCTAATCCAAAATTATCTTCCATGAATATTAATAAAAAAAATTTCTTTGGCAGACAAAGTAAAAAACCCATCAAACTATTCTTTTTAGTATTTTTTTTATCCGATTCAATAAAAATAAAAATTATATTGCCCGATTACCGGTAATTGTTTATTTGTTTACATTTATCACATGATTTTTATCTATATTAGTTACGTATAAACATGCAATACTGCAAATAAGCAAATTTCAGTTTATTTCAGTTTAAAAAAAAAAAATTGCGGTACAACAATTTATTCATAGCCTCTTATTATTGTCCCTCTAATCTTATAAACCTATAGTTCTTAAGATCCTTCGCCACAAACAAGTGTCACTAACTAGTAAAAGTACGGTAGAATATTCCTAGGGAAATATATGTGGTGTCACATTTATTATAAAGTTATTTTAAAAGTCGTCTGATCATACAATACATACCTTTTGAAAGGGAACTCCCTCTTTTTTCTTTATCGTTGTTGGTATCATTTTATTTGTTTGTTTTGATTATAGATGTATTTTTACATTACTCTCACTACATAATATTGAAAAAAAAATGCCTGCTCCCGACCATGAAGGCTTTGACCAAAATACGCCTATTATAAATATCACCACCCCTATTATAGTAATAGAAGGCACTACCCAAGAGGGCGAAAATACAGATACCCCAGAAGCCGAAAATAGTAATCTGCTAAAGATTTCTAACTTTAACAAATCTGATGTTACTTTATGTTCTTCAACTTCTACAAAAGTAGAATCTGGAGAATCTGAAGAAATGAGTAACTTATCCGTTGAACAAGGGAAGGAACAAGGAAAAATGGCGCGTAATGAACAATCTATGTATTCTATTAATCCTAGCCCTTTTGCGTACACTTCGGCTCATCTTTGGAAAGTAATGAATCAAAGAGATTTTAGATTATTACAATCCATAGGTGGTCTCACTGGAATTATAGAGGGTTTACGTACTGATCGTACTAATGGTTTGAACACAAAAGATGAGTCAAAACCTTTATCAACAAAATCTAGAAATGAGTTTACAAATGTACCTTCTTTTGAAAGTGATTTAGATAACTCTCCTAATGGTGATGTTAATCTTATGGATTTCCCAATTCCACCGGACAATACTCCATTCTCTGATAGAATAAAAGCTTTTGGTAAAAATGTTTTACCTGAGAGTAAATCTAAATCAATTCTTGAATATATGTGGCTAGCTATGCAAGAAAAGGTTTTAATCCTTTTGACAATTGCTGCTATTATCTCGTTGGGTCTTGGTCTTTATGAAGATTTTAGTGAAAATCAATCTGTTAAAATTAAATGGATTGAGGGTGTGGCGATCATTGTTGCTATTTTAATTGTAGTATTGGTGGGAAGTGTAAATGATTGGCAAAAGGAAAGACAATTTCGAAGTTTGAACGCAAAGAAAGAAGATCGTGAGGTTAAAGTTATTAGAGATGGTTTACCTTCCCTAATATTTATTCATGATGTTTTAGTTGGTGATATAGTTCAACTAGAACCTGGTGATGTTATTCCTGCTGATGGAATTTTGATTTCTGGTTATAATATTCATTGTGATCAATCTGATGAAACTGGTGAAAGTGACTCCATAAAAAAGCTCACTTACGATACTTGTGAAAGAAAATTTGACTCTAATTATAGTAGTTCAAGCAGTTCTAAAATTGATCCTTTCATAATAAGTGGAAGCAGGGTATTGGAAGGTGTTGGTACCTATGTTGTTATTGGTGTTGGTGTAAATTCGTGCAGAGGAAGAACTGCCATGTGTACGAATTATTTATGCTTTGCTTGGATATGAAATTTTTTTTGATATTTATCTTTTTTTAACTGATTTATTTATTTATTTTATTTATTTAACAAAGCTTTAAATACTAATAATGAAGATACTCCACTTCAAGTCAAGTTGAATGACCTCGCTGAACAAATTGCAAAATTAGGAGGAGCTGCTGCTTTGTTAATGCTTATTGTTCTTTTGATTAAATATTTTATTTCTTTCCGTGTTCATGGTGTACCAGAAACAACAAAAGCAATAAGTAATGTGGTAAGAGTAATTATTTCAGCGGTCACTGTTGTGGTCGTTGCTGTACCTGAAGGCTTACCTTTGGCTGTAACACTTGGTTCGTCTAAAATTTTGATTTTTTTCATAAATTAACTATTTAAAATATTGATTATATTGATTATATTGATTATATTAATTAAAACGCCTGAAATTTATAAATGTATTTATAGCTCTCGCTTATGCAACAACACGTATGTTAAAAGATAATAATCTTGTACGTGTTCTAGCATCTTGTGAAACAATGGGTAATGCTACTACCATTTGTTCGGATAAGACTGGAACATTAACACAAAACCAAATGACCGTCGTAATCACCACTATTGGATCATCAGATTCATTTGCTAGAAATGTTGATTTATTTACGAAAACTCTCCCAAACAACAATGTAAAGGAATTGAAAAATATATCATCCATGCAAGATATAAAAAACTTACCGGAACGTATTTTAAACATTTTATATAAATCTATTGCAA